TCAAAAATATTGCTTCCAACGCCCCCGTTGATAAACACTACTCTAGAGCTCGGGTCTGAATGTGGACTAACTTCTGACTCTGGTCTCTGAATGTGGACTAACGTCTGACTCTGGTCTCTGAATGTGGACTAACGTCTGTCTCTGGTCTCTGAATGTGGACTAACGTCTGACTCTGGTCTTTGAATGTGGACTAACGTCTGACTCTGGTCTTTGAATGTGGACTAACGTCTGTCTCTGGTCTCTGAATGTGGACTAACGTCTGTCTCTGGTCTTTGAATGTGGACTAACGTCTGTCTCTGGTCTCTGAATGTGGACTAACGTCTGTCTCTGGTCTTTGAATGTGGACTAACGTCTGTCTCTGGTCTCTGAATGTGGACTAACGTCTGACTCTGGTCTCTGAATGTGGACTAACGTCTGTCTCTGGTCTCTGAATGTGGACTAACGTCTGTCTCTGGTCTTTGAATGTGGACTAACGTCTGACTCTGGTCTTTGAATGTGGACTAACGTCTGTCTCTGGTCTCTGAATGTGGACTAACGTCTGTCTCTGGTCTTTGAATGTGGACTAACGTCTGTCTCTGGTCTCTGAATGTGGACTAACGTCTGTCTCTGGTCTTTGAATGTGGACTAACGTCTGTCTCTGGTCTCTGAATGTGGACTAACGTCTGTCTCTGGTCTCTGAATGTGGACTAACGTGTCTCTGGTCTCTGAATGTGGACTAACGTCTGTCTCTGGTCTTTGAATGTGGACTAACGTCTGTCTCTGGTCTCTGAATGTGGACTAACTTCTGACTCTGGTCTCTGAATGTGGACTAACGTCTGTCTCTGGTCTCTGAATGTGGACTAACGTCTGTCTCTGGTCTCTGAATGTGGACTAACTTCTGACTCTGGTCTCTGAATGTGGACTAACGTCTGTCTCTGGTCTCTGAATGTGGACTAACGTCTGTCTCTGGTCTCTGAATGTGGACTAACGTGTGACGCTGGTCTTTCCTGGTCAATGCAGTGCCAGGCTGTGTCCGAGGAGCGCTCGGTTCGCTCCACCTCGCCGTCCCTGCTGATGGCTACCGTGGGTCAGAGAGTCCTCAGCTGGCTGGACGAGGGCTCAGGATGCACCAGCCCCGAGCGGGTCGTTGCCCTCTGGACCGAGGAGGGCATCAGGAACAGCCGGGACATCCTGCAGGTCAGTACAGACCAGGACCAGAGGGCCCTGTGGTCAGGTTGGTTACTGTCAGTGTCCACCGGTGTAGATGATCTGAAGCTTTAAACGTTTCCAGACCAGGTCTCTGGGGTCTCTGGGGGGTCTGGGGGTCTGGGGGTCTGGGGTTTGGTCTGTTTTTGAGGAATCAGTCTGTGTGAATGTGTCCAAAGGAAAAAACTGCAGTGTGGCCCCCTGCTGAGGAGGTTCAGTTCCCACACAGCAGCCACTCAGGTCTTTAGGCTCGGTTTGGACCCCCCCGGTTCCTTTTACCACAGAACAGAGGCGGCCCAGGCCCACCGGCCCTCGCCGTGGATCAGGATCCACATGTTAAACCCTAAACAGAGTGTAGACGCCTCCTGGCTCTGAACAGGAGCTCACGCAGCCGCCCCGTTTCAGCTGGTCTCCACCGCAGAGCAGAGGCTTATCCAGGTTTATTCTGCAGATGTAGCTGCTGTGCTGAAGTACGTTCTGAAGTAGTACTTTAAAATCCTCCATGTTACTGCAGTACATGTTCTTCAGTAAAGTATCAGACAGATGGCGAGTCAGCAGAGTCTCTGACGGCAGCAGCAGCTCCACCTTCACAGCTGCAGCGTTAAACTCATCTGAATCTTTTCCAGACTGCACTGATGTGAGAATGAAAACCGCCACGGCGGTCTGCGGCGTCCAGCTGCTGACATCACTCAGTCTGCGTTCAGAATCAGCAGCTCTTAGTTTCTGACTGTTGGACCGGTCCTTGAACGTCTCATAGGGTCTGAACCCCACTGGTGAACCTGTGCACCGGAGGAAACTTGTCTCTGCAGGTGAATACGTGATCCAGGTTTGTGTTGTCTCCCCACAGGCTCTGGACTTCCCTCTGGAGGAGCGGCTTAGTCTGGCAGACCTGACTCTGGCCCTGGACAACGAGCTGCTGGTCAGCGGGAACGGCATCCACCAGGCGGCGCTCATGTCCTACAAGAGCGAGATCCAGCACCTGCAGTAAGTTCCCACCTGAAACACACGGGGGTCTTCAGAGACCACCACGCCACCAGCTCCCCCCTGAAGGAGGATTTATAAATCTCTCATTTCGCGGGGCACTCACCCCAGGTATGGTTAGTAATTACACAATTATTCACTAGTGATCAGTTAGTAGTTAGTAATCGCTCAATTATCTTAAATCAGTCTCATATCGAAGGGTAAATTATCGTGACAATACACGACGTTCCTGTGGTTACGGTGAAATTTATTAAATAACTAAAGGTGGATATAAATGCGGTTAAATACACATCAGAGAAATAAACAATGAGAATGTGGTTGTGTTGTGGGAGAATTTGACTCCTACGGCAGCCAATGAACGCAGTTAGATGATAACTCGGTTAAATTTGTCTAGGAGTTTCAAGGATTAAAGATACTGGATTAACAGACTATTGGACTGATTACAGAATGCAGGGTTTTAGTCTCACTGCTGTCGTTTCTCCCTGCCGGGTCGCTGGTCGGCGGCCTCACGCTGCCGGAGTTCCGTGCGTTCTGGGTTATGACGGCTTAAAGGCCTCAGCCGGTCGCTTTCTCTGCCAGGAATTGCTCCGGAGGTCCGTCTTTTGTCGGCTTATTGAAGAAACTTGCTGTGGGGCCTTTACAACCCCGGCTCGGGTCAGAGGTTTGGTCGTCCTTTGTTACTGCTGGCGGGCCCACGTGCGTTGGTCCGGCTTCGGTGGGAGCGGTGTGAGTTAGCTCGACGAATAAAGCTTAAAAGAACTTGGTCGTTCTTGAATTAAAATAGTGTAACTTAACGGACTGATAACTTTAACAAACAACAGACGATAAAATAAAAAGCAATTAAGTTGCTGAGAACCAGGTTTATTGGTTCAGTTCCACGGTTTGATTGTGGTCAGTGATGAACTGACACGTCCTGGAGTGCGCTGTGACATCACCGCAGCAGAGTCAGAAAGTAAACCAGCAGAGGGTCGGGCTGGAGCTGGACTACTGCTCCAGGACAGAGACTCCTCAGTCAGGTCCCTCCTCCTTATTGGTTACCATGGCGTCATGTGTGCAGGGTGGTGGCGGAGCAGGCCTGCAGGAGCGGGACAAGGTGAAGGTAGACCTGGACCAGGCTGATCACAGGAACCTGCAGCTGGTCAGAGAGGTGGACGACCGCCACGCCAGCATGGAGACCCTCAACCAGAGCCGGATCAGGTGAGCAGAACCTGGTCTCTGAGCGCCTGGATCAGAGACCAGGACACAATGTGATGATGTTGTTCCTGCAACACCAGCTGTTTGCTGTGAGCGCACACTGACTTTAGCGCTGACGTTAGCTGGACACACACTGCGCTGACGTTAGCTGGACACACACTGCGCTGACATTAGCTGGACACTCTGCGCTGACGTTAGCTGGACACACACTGCGCTGACGTTAGCTGGACACACACTGCACTGACGTTAGCTGGACACACACTGCGCTGACTTTAGCGCTAATGTTAGCTGGACACACACTGCGCTGACTTTAGCGCTAATGTTAGCTGGACACTCTGCGCTGACGTTAGCTGGACACACACTGCGCTGACTTTAGCGCTGATGTTAGCTGGACACTCTGCGCTGACGTTAGCTGGACACACACTGCGCTGACTTTAGCGCTAATGTTAGCTGGACACTCTGCGCTTATGTTAGCTGGACACTCTGCGCTGACGTTAGCTGGACACACTCTGCGCTGACTTTAGCACTAATGTTAGCTGGACACTCTGCGCTTATGTTAGCTGGACACACACTGCGCTGACTTTAGCGCTAATGTTAGCTGGACACTCTGCGCTTATGTTAGCTGGACACTCTGCGCTTATGTTAGCTGGACACTCTGCGCTGACGTTAGCTGGACACACACTGCGCTGACTTTAGCGCTAATGTTAGCTGGACACTCTGCGCTTATGTTAGTTGGACACTCTGCGCTGACTTTAGCGCTAATGTTAGCTGGACACTCTGCGCTTATGTTAGTTGGACACTCTGCGCTGACGTTAGCTGGACACACTCTGCGCTGACTTTAGCACTAATGTTAGCTGGACACTCTGCGCTGACGTTAGCTGGACACACACTGCGCTGACTTTAGCGCTAATGTTAGCTGGACACTCTGCGCTTATGTTAGCTGGACACTCTGCGCTGACGTTAGCTGGACACACACTGCGCTGACTTTAGCGCTAATGTTAGCTGGACACTCTGCGCTGACGTTAGCTGGACACACACTGCGCTGACTTTAGCGCTGATGTTAGCTGGACACTCTGCGCTTATGTTAGCTGGACACACACTGCGCTGACTTTAGCGCTAATGTTAGCTGGACACTCTGCGCTTATGTTAGCTGGACACTCTGCGCTGACGTTAGCTAGACACACTCTGCGCTGACTTTAGCACTAATGTTAGCTGGACACTCTGCGCTGACATTAGCTGGACACACTGCGCTGACGTTAGCTGGACACACACTGCGCTGACGTTAGCTGGACACACACTGCGCTGACTTTAGCGCTAATGTTAGCTGGACACACACTGCGCTGACTTTAGCGCTAATGTTAGCTGGACACTCTGCGCTGACGTTAGCTGGACACACACTGCGCTGACTTTAGCGCTGACGTTAGCTGGACACACACTGCGCTGACTTTAGCGCTGACGTTAGCTGGACACACACTGCGCTGACTTTAGCGCTGATGTTAGCTGGACACTCTGCGCTGACGTTAGCTGGACACACACTGCGCTGACTTTAGCGCTAATGTTAGCTGGACACTCTGCGCTTATGTTAGCTGGACACTCTGCGCTGACGTTAGCTGGACACACTCTGCGCTGACTTTAGCACTAATGTTAGCTGGACACTCTGCGCTGACGTTAGCTGGACACAGTGCGCTGACATTAGCTGGACACACTGCGCTGACGTTAGCTGGACACACACTGCGCTGACGTTAGCTGGACACACACTGCGCTGACTTTAGCGCTGATGTTAGCTGGACACACACTGCGCTGACTTTAGCGCTAATGTTAGCTGGACACTCTGCGCTGACGTTAGCTGGACACACACTGCGCTGACTTTAGCGCTGATGTTAGCTGGACACACACTGCGCTGACTTTAGCGCTAATGTTAGCTGGACACTCTGCGCTTATGTTAGCTGGACACTCTGCGCTGACGTTAGCTGGACACACACTGCGCTGACTTTAGCGCTGACGTTAGCTGGACACACACTGCGCTGACTTTAGCGCTAATGTTAGCTGGACACTCTGCGCTGACGTTAGCTGGACACACTCTGCGCTGACGTTAGCTGGACACACTCTGCGCTGACGTTAGCTTGACACTCTGCGCTGACTTTAGCGCTTATGTTAGCTGGACACACACTGCGCTGACGTTAGCTGGACACACACTGCGCTGACTTTAGCGCTAATGTTAGCTGGACACACTCTGCGCTGACATTAGCTGGACACACACTGCGCTGACTTTAGCGCTAATGTTAGCTGGACACTCTGCGCTGACGTTAGCTGGACACACTCTGCGCTGACTTTAGCACTAATGTTAGCTGGACACTCTGCGCTGACGTTAGCTGGACACACTGCGCTGACGTTAGCTGGACACACACTGCGCTGACGTTAGCTGGACACACACTGCGCTGACGTTAGCTGGACACACACTGCGCTGACGTTAGCTGGACACACTGCGCTGACGTTAGCTGGACACACACTGCGCTGACTTTAGCGCTAATGTTAGCTGGACACTCTGCGCTGACGTTAGCTGGACACTCTGCGCTGACGTTAGCTGGACACACTCTGCGCTGACGTTAGCTGGACACACTCTGCGCTGACTTTAGCGCTAATGTTAGCTGGACACTCTGCGCTGACGTTAGCTGGACACTCTGCGCTGACGTTAGCTGGACACTCTGCGCTGACGTTAGCTGGACACACTCTGCGCTGACGTTAGCTGGACACACTCTGCGCTGACGTTAGCTTGACACACTGCGCTGATGTTAGCTGGACACACTCTGCGCTGACGTTAGCTTGACACACTCTGCGCTGACGTTAGCTGGACACTCTGCGCTGACTTTAGCGCTTATGTTAGCTGGACACACTCTGCGCTGACGTTAGCTGGACACACTCTGCGCTGACGTTAGCTTGACACTCTGCGCTGACGTTAGCGCTTATGTCAGCTGGACACACTCTGCGCTGATGTTAGCTGGACACACACTGCACTGACGTTAGCTTGACACTCTGCGCTGACTTTAGCGCTTATGTTAGCTGGACACACTCTGCGCTGACGTTAGCTGGACACACACTGCGCTGACGTTAGCTGGACACACTCTGCGCTGACTTTAGCGCTTATGTTAGCTGGACACACACTGCGCTGACTTTAGCGCTTATGTTAGCTGGACACACACTGCGCTGACTTTAGCGCTTATGTTAGCTGGACACACTCTGCGCTGACTTTAGCGCTTATGTTAGCTGGACACACTCTGCGCTGACTTTAGCGCTTATGTTAGCTGGACACACACTGCGCTGACTTTAGCGCTGACGTTAGCTGGACACACACTGCGCTGACTTTAGCGCTAATGTTAGCTGGACACACTCTGCGCTGACGTTAGCTGGACACACTCTGCGCTGACGTTAGCTTGACACTTTGCTCTGACGAGCCGCTCTGTGATTGGCAGGGACCTGGAGCAGGGCTTCCGTGATAGGCTGGCGTCTCTGCGCAGTCAGTCGGAGCAGGAGAGCGAGGCGCTGCTGCATCAGGCGGAGAGCGAGCGCCGCGCGCTGCAGGACGAGCTGCAGCTGCTCCGGGCGCAGGAGGCGGAGCTACAGGAGGAGCTTTGCAGCGCCGCACAGGTGGGAACACGACCTGGTTTAGATTCTTCTGTCCTCCTCTGATCATGTCCTGTAGTACTAATAAAGTACAAGTACTGCTACAAGTGAATACACAGAAGTATCAGCACGTGGGTAGTACAGTAGGTCCAGCTCGCTGAGTTTGAGATATTTGAACACCATCGTTCACTAAAAGTACTCTGATAAAGTGTTTAGTCTGACGTGTTCTCACCAATGAGGGACCAGGACCAGACCCCTGTGGGTCCAGTTTAAAGGATCTGAGTGGCCCTGAGGGGCCTGCTGACCTGCAGGTGAACATTAAAGCGTTTGTGTGTGTTGAGCAGGAGAGCCGGCGTCTGGAGGAGGAGCTGAGGGCCGTGAAGCTGAAGCTGACCGACGCAGAGAGATCGGTGAACAGGCTGCAGAGAGACCTGGACCAGCTGCTGCACCACAAGGTACCGCCCGCCGACCCGGGCGCCGCCAGGCTCTGCCGCTTTAGCTTCCCCCGGTTCTGTCAGCGGCGTGTTAGTGTGAAGGTCTGATGTTGCAGCCACAGTGACCTTCCTCGACACGTTGGAGCAGTGAGAACAGTCAGACCTCTGTAGGCCAGCGGCGGCGTTCAGAAACGTGCCGACGCCGGCTTGTGATCTATAGAAGCAGAGCTGACTGTGTCCTGTGAGTAAACTGTGAACCATGCGTACGCACAGGAGAGCAGAGGAGAGAAACGGCGTCTCACGTGGAGGAAGAATGAAACGGTCTGAGGTGAACAGACTGTGCCATAAATCCAGATTTCCCCTCTGAGTATTTCAGGCTTAAAGCCTTTCTGAAGAAACAAACTCTCGTTTGACTGGCAAAAAACATCATTTAAGATCATTTGCAGCCACAAAGATCCAGATTCAGGATCAGAAACAGGATTCAGTTTCTGCAAAAGAGCCTCAGATCTGTTTAATCAGGAACCAGATTAATTAAAAGCTGCATGCAGCAGTTTGTTCTGCTAAATCAGGTGAACGGGAGACAAATTTAATGATGCTGTTTTCAGAGCGTCAGTCGAGCAGAGTTTAACAGACTGTTGTCACATGTTCCCACACGCTGAGCGCCGGCGTGTGGATCTGACCCGCTGCCTGTAAAAACTGTTTTACTAAGTAAATCTTCCTGTGTGCGTCACATAAAACACGTCCTGTTTCTTGAACTCGTCAGCACCTCGTTCAGCGTTTGAGGAAGTCATTCGCTTTCCTCTCTTTTCAAACGGGGGAATCCAGATCAGTACCTGCTTCATCCCACCTGTGTGTCCAACCCAGCCAATGAGGGAGGCCCCTTCCTGCAGGTCGGTTATAAAGGGGCGGGGCTCCGGAGCTCAGGGCTTAAGAGTGTTTATATATTCGACAATATATGATTATGTCTGTGCGTATTGTTTTTAAGTCGCTGTACTATTCTGTGTGGGCTTCATCAGTGGTGATAAATGATTCGAAGTATATGATAGTCTTTAATATTTAGCAGTCTGGTGAGAACGCCGTTTGATCAGTGAGCACAGCAAAGTGTCTGAACAGCATGAGCCGGCAGAACAGATGTTGGAGGCAGCGTCCACCTCTTCTCTCAGCATAATGACCGTGTTCACACACGGCTACAGATACACACAGCGACACACAACACCGGTCCTCTCCAGACGCTCACCTGTTCCCGCCTGCCCGCTGATCTGTCGGCGGAGAGAGGCGAGGGAGAAGAGAAGCTCGCCTTGGCATCAACTGTCTTGTTTCTAACTTTCACTCAGGAGCAAAAATCAGCCTTCAAACAGAAACGATGATAATTATCGATATCCAGTGATTTGAAATGTCTTATCGTGGTGACGTCTCCGGCCGTATGGTCCGGCCCTTTTCACACTCCCAGCAGTGATTTCAGGTGGTGGCCCCTCAGAGCCCAGAGAGAATATTTCAGTACGATTATTTTCTCGTCTTGTTCTTGCGAACCCAGTATCGTAATTCCTCACGTCTCGTGAGTTAAGTATATCGTCTTACCCCTAATCTGAGCCGCTATGTCCCATCAGTCTTCAACACACAGTTACCCCCGAACGCGTCCCTGTGAGCTTCACTGAGCGTTTGGAGGCTGGGACATGGGGCCCCGCTCCGTCCTCACTGACAGAGGAGCCTCCTTTGAACTCAGTCCGAGCACCTGAGGGCCTCCACAGTGGCGTCAGGACAGCTCTGTTATACATGCCCCCCCCCCTTTAACTAAACTCCAAAAACTCGTTTAAACATCTGCATCAGACGGGGACCTGTCAGGTGACCCGGATCTAACACGTGGCCCTTACAGCTCAGCGCTCTCTGGTTAAAAGCTGCTGGTACCAACGAAGCTCTGTGAGCGCCTCCAGCTAAACATCTCTGATCCCAGCGTTCAGGAATCTTCTCTGAAGGTTCAGCAGCAGTCACACATCTGTTCCTCCTCCATCCAATATTATACTAACACTGAGTCACAGGACCAATCAGCTGCCAGGGCTCCCTCACACTCTGATCAATCAGCTGCCAGGGCTCCCTCACACTCTGACCAATCAGCTGCCAGGGCTCCCTCACACTCTGACCAATCAGCTGCCAGGGCTCCTTCACACTCTGACCAATCAGCTGCCAGGGCTCTGTCACACTCTGAGTCACAGGACCAATCAGCTGCCAGGGCTCCCTCACACTCTGATCAATCAGCTGCCAGGGCTCCCTCACACTCTGACCAATCAGCTGCCAGGGCTCCCTCACACTCTGACCAATCAGCTGCCAGGGCTCCTTCACACTCTGACCAATCAGCTGCCAGGGCTCCTTCACACTCTGACCAATCAGCTGCCAGGGCTCTGTCACACTCTGAGTCACATGACATGGTGAACCTGAGAGCGGACAGGAAGTCAGACCTCACCTGGTGTCAGGTGACTGTCCTCCCAGCAGGTGAATTATTGACGACCTCTCTCCCCTTGGTCTTCGTCTCCTCGCCGCCGCAGACAAAGCCGACTCTTGATGTGGTGATTGACAGCTACGTTTAACCTGTGTTGTCTTGCTTTGGCAGTTTGGCGGCTTGGACCCGGCGGGCGGCGCTCTGAGTCACGAGGAGCGCTTCTCCGACATCATCAGAGAGTACGAGCTGCAGCTGCGGGTGAGAGGCCGTCTGATTCTTCGCTTTCTGTTTCACGCCGCTGATGGTAGAAACAGGAAGTCTGAAGGCTCGTTGAGGGTAGATCAGGTCTTTAATGTCTGTTTCTGTCTGTGCACCTGAACGCCCCGTGTCCCTACAACAGAGGATCCAGGTGAGAACACGTGAGTTTGCTGTTTACCTGCATGTGTGTGGCTCGCCGCTCTGTGACATCACTTCCTGCAGCAGAGCAGATGTATAGATCAGAACCTGAAGTGATCGTGTAGAGGAGGTTTAGATGCTGCACTCGCTCAGAGCCTACAGACACCCAACGGGGTTGGCGAGGAGCGGCGCTCTGATGTGTGTGTCAGCATGCAGGGAGGCTGAGTGTGCAGGTGCTGACAGCGTGTGTGTGGTGCGTTCAGGAGCTGCGGGACAGAAACGATGAGCTGAGCTCAGAGCTGGAGGCGCTGCAGAGTCAGAGGACCGACAGGAAGTCCAGACGACCTGCAGGGAGCGACACCGACGCCGCTCTGAGCTGGACCCAACAACGGCCCGTCAGCACCGAGTCCGACTCTGGTAACACAACTACAGCTACACACGGCTACAGATACTCGTGGTTACACGTGGCTACAGCTACACGCGGCTACACGCGGCTGTGGCTATACGCGGCTACAGCTACTCACGGCTACACATGGCTACAGCTAAACACGGCTACACACGGCTACACACGGCTACAGTTAAACACAGCTACACATGGCTACGGCTACACACGGCTACGGCTACACACGGCTACGGCTACACACGGCTACGGCTACACACGGCTACGGATACACACGGCTACAGTTAAACACAGCTACACATGGCTACGGCTACACACGGCTACGGCTACACACGGCTACGGCTACACATGGCTACAGTTAAACACAGCTACACATGGCTACGGCTACACGGCTACGGCTACACACGGCTACGGCTACACACGGCTACGGCTACACACGGCTACGGCTACTCACGGCTACACACGGCTACAGCTACACACGGCTACGGCTACACATGGCTACGGCTACACACGGCTACGGCTACACACGGCTACACACGGCTACAGCTACACACGGCTACGGCTACACACGGCTACGGCTACTCACGGCTACACACGGCTACACACGGCTACAGCTACTCACAGCTACACACGGCTACAGCTACACACGGCTACGGCTACACACAGCTACACATGGCTACGGCTACACACGGCTACAGATACTCGCGGCTACAGATACTCGCGGCTACAGATACTCGCGGCTACAGCTACTCGCGGCTACTCACGGCTACAGCTACTCACGGCTACAGATACACATAGCTACAGATACACACAGCTACTCGCGGCTACAGCTACACGTGGCTACACACGGCTACAGATACTCGCGGCTACACACGGCTACAGATATTCGCGGCTACAGCTACACGCGGCTACAGCTACACATGGCTACAGATACTCGTGGCTACATGCGGCTACAGCTACACGCGGCTACACGTGGCTACAGCTACACACGGCTACGGCTACACACGGCTACAGATCCTCACGGCTACACACGGCTACGGCTACACACGGCTACGGCTACACACGGCTACGGCTACACGGCTACACACGGCTACAGATCCTCACGGCTACACACGGCTACGGCTACACACGGCTACACACGGCTACGGCTACACACGGCTACACGCGGCTACGGCTACACGCGGCTACGGCTACACAGTAGAAGTACTTCAAATTGTAAGTAGAGTACTTGAGTAAATGTACTTTCAGTAACACGCTTCTGTCAGGAGGTGGCGCCACTTCACCTGCTTTCACCAGCTCACTGCAGAGCTGTGATTGGCTGCAGGTCACAGAATGAGACGCACTGATTGGTCCACAAACAAACAAACAGGATGCAGCAGGATGCAGCTTTAAACAATAAAAGTGAAGTTTGAATTTAAATAAAGATGTGCTGCTGAGGATCTGCAGAGCGGACACATCAGGGTCTTTGTCCTGAAGGATTCTGGGAGTCCCTTTCAGAGCAAAGTTAAGAGAGAAACACCTGTTCACACATAAATGCTCAAATTAAAGGAACTTTAACTTGAATGGACACGTTTTATACTTCATCTAAATATAATCCGGTTCATCTTATTTCCAGTATCTTATTTTGAAAAGCAGCTCAGCCTGTCTGCAGGTCTGCTCTCTCTGCAGAGCGAGGAGCTGAAGTCTCCGACCCTCAGCTGCTCTGTGACCTTTCATTTACCGTAAAGGCTCTAAAACATGTGCATTCAGGTTCTCTGACCTCTAAAGAAAAGTGGTCGTCTCGAGCCGGACGCCCGAGTGTGCGAGCTCCTGCAGCTCTTCAGTGTTATTAGGAGAAGCTTGTTGAAACTGTGGCCGCCGTATTCTCTGTAAGAGAAGGGAAACGCTGCTCTGAAGCTCTCCACTCTGTAAATGTAGAGCAGAGAGTGCCGAGTGCTCGTTACGGCTGAAACTGAAGAGGGTTCAGTACCTGCTGAGCAGGTCTGACCAGGTAGGCACACAGGAATACAGGTCCTGCAGGTGTGCAGGGTCACACTGAATGTGTCCTCTGTCCCAGCGTGTCTCACCGTGAGTCTCCACATCCTCTGCTCCAGGAACAGGATCCTCTGTTTACTCTCTGTTTACTGTCTGTTTACTCTCTGTTTACTGTCTGTTTACTGTTTACTCTCTGTTTACTCTCTGTTTACTCTCTGTTTACTGTTTACTGTCTGTTTACTCTCTGTTTACTGTTTACTGTCTGTTTACTCTCTGTTTACTGTTTACTGTCTGTTTACTCTCTGTTTACTCTCTACTCTCTGTTTACTCTCTGTTTACTGTTTACTCTCTGTTTACTGTCTGTTTACTCTCTGTTTACTCTCTGTTTACTCTCTGTTTACTGTTTACTGTCTGTTTACTCTCTGTTTACTGTTTACTGTCTGTTTACTCTCTGTTTACTGTTTACTCTCTGTTTACTCTCTGTTTACTCTATTTACTGTTTACTGTCTGTTTACTGTCTGTTTACTCTATTTACTGTTTACTCTCTGTTTACTCTCTGTTTACTCTCTGTTTACTGTCGGTTTACTGTTTACTGTCTGTTTACTGTTTACTCTCTGTTTACTCTCTGTTTACTCTCTGTTTACTCTCTGTTTACTGTCTGTTTACTCTCTGTTTACTGTCTGTTTACTGTCTGTTTACTCTATTTACTGTTTACTGTCTGTTTACTCTCTGTTTACTGTCTGTTTACTGTTTACTGTCTGTTTACGGTTTACTGTCTGTTTACTCTATTTACGGTTTACTGTCTGTTTACTCTATTTACTCTCTGTTTACTGTTTACTCTCTGTTTACCGTTTACTGCCTGTTTACTGTTTACTGTCTGTTTACTGTCTGTTTACTCTGTTTACTCTCTGTTTACTGTTTACTCTCTGTTTACTCTCTGTTTACTGTTTACTGTCTGTTTACTCTCTGTTTACTGTTTACTCTCTGTTTACTGTCTGTTTACTGTCTGTTTGCTCTCTGTTTACTGTTTACTGTCTGTTTGCTGTCTGTTTACTGTTTACTGTCTGTTTACTCTCTGTTTACGCTCTGTTTACGCTCTGTTTACTGTTTACTCTCTGTTTACTCTCTGTTTACTGTTTACTGTCTGTTTACTCTCTGTTTACGCTCTGTTTACTGTTTACTCTCTGTTTACTGTCTGTTTACTGTCTGTTTACTTTCTGTTTGCTCTCTGTTTACTGTTTACTGTCTGTTTGCTCTCTGTTTACTGATTACTGTCTGTTTGCTCTCTGTTTGCTCTCTGTTTACTGATTACTGTCTGTTTACTCTCTGTTTACTGTTTACTGTCTGTTTACTCTCTGTTTACTCTCTGTTTACTGTCTGTTTGCTCTCTGTTTACTGATTACTGTCTGTATACTCTCTGTTTACTGTTTACTGTCTGTTTATGCTCTGTTTACTGTTTACTCTCTGTTTACTCTCTGTTTACTGTTTACTGTCTGTTTACTCTCTGTTTACTCTCTGTTTACTGTTTACTCTCTGTTTACTCTCTGTTTACTGTTTACTCTCTGTTTACTCTCTGTTTACTGTTTACTGTCTGTTTGCTCTCTGTTTACTCTCTGTTTACTCTCTGTTTACTCTGTTTACTGTTTACTGTCTGTTTACTCTCTGTTTACTCTCTGTTTACTCTCTGTTTACTCTCTGTTTACTGTTTACTGTCTGTTTACTCTCTGTTTACGCTCTGTTTACTGTTTACGCTCTGTTTACTGTTTACTCTCTGTTTACTGTTTACTCTCTGTTTACTGTTTACTCTCTGTTTACTCTCTGTTTACTGTTTACTGTCTGTTTACTCTCTGTTTACTCTCTGTTTACTGTCTGTTTACTGTTTACTGTCTGTTTACTCTCTGTTTACTGTCTGTTTACTGTCTGTTTACTGTTTACTGTCTGTTTACTCTCTGTTTACTCTCTGTTTACTCTCTGTTTACTGTTTACTCTGTTTACTCTCTGTTTGCTCTCTGTTTACTGTTTACTGTCTGTTTACTGTCTGTTTACTGTCTGTTTACTGTCTGTTTACTGTTTTCTCTCTGTTTACTCTCTGTTTGCTCTCTGTTTACTGTTTACTGTCTGTTTACTCTCTGTTTACTGTTTACTCTCTGTTTACTCTCTGTTTACTGTTTACTGTCTGTTTACTCTCTGTTTACACTCTGTTTACTGTCTGTTTACTGTTTACTGTCTGTTTACTCTCTGTTTACTCTCTGTTTACTGTTTACTGTCTGTTTGCTCTCTGTTTACTCTCTGTTTACTCTCTGTTTACTGTTTACTCTCTGTTTACTGTTTACTCTCTGTTTACTCTCTGTTTACTGTTTACTCTCTGTTTACTCTCTGTTTACTGTTTACTCTCTGTTTACTCTCTGTTTACTGTCTGTTTACTCTCTGTTTACTGTCTGTTTACTCTCTGTTTACTCTCTGTTTACTGTCTGTTTACTGTCTGTTTGCTCTCTGTTTACTGTTTACTGTCTGTTTGCTGTCTGTTTACTGTTTACTGTCTGTTTACTCTCTGTTTACGCTCTGTTTACGCTCTGTTTACTGTTTACTGTCTGTTTACTCTCTGTTTACGCTCTGTTTACTGTTTACTCTCTGTTTACTGTCTGTTACTGTCTGTTTACTTTCTGTTTGCTCTCTGTTTACTGTTTACTGTCTGTTTGCTCTCTGTTTACTGTTTACTGTCTGTTTGCTCTCTGTTTACTGATTACTGTCTGTTTGCTCTCTGTTTGCTCTCTGTTTACTGATTACTGTCTGTTTACTCTCTGTTTACTGTTTACTGTCTGTTTACTCTCTGTTTACTCTCTGTTTACTGTCTGTTTGCTCTCTGTTTACTGATTACTGTCTGTATACTCTCTGTTTACTGTTTACTGTCTGTTTATGCTCTGTTTACTGTTTACTGTCTGTTTATGCTCTGTTTACTGTTTACTCTCTGTTTACTCTCTGTTTACTCTCTGTTTACTGTTTACTCTCTGTTTTCTCTCTGTTTACTGTTTACTCTCTGTTTACTCTCTGTTTACTGTTTACTGTCTGTTTGCTCTCTGTTTACTCTCTGTTTACTCTCTGTTTACTGTTTACTCTCTGTTTACTCTCTGTTTACTGTTTACTCTCTGTTTACTCTCTGTTTACTGTTTACTCTCTGTTTACTCTCTGTTTACTCTCTGTTTACTCTCTGTTTACTGTTTACTGTCTGTTTACTCTCTGTTTACGCTCTGTTTACTGTTTACTCTCTGTTTACTGTTTACTCTCTGTTTACTGTTTACTCTCTGTTTACTGTTTACTCTCTGTTTACTCTCTGTTTACTGTTTACTGTCTGTTTACTCTCTGTTTACTGTTTACTGTCTGTTTACTGTCTGTTTACTCTCTGTTTACTGTTTACTGTCTGTTTACTCTCTGTTTACTCTCTGTTTACTGTCTGTTTACTGTTTACTGTCTGTTTACTGTCTGTTTACTGTCTGTTTACTGTCTGTTACTGTTTACTGTCTGTTTACTCTCTGTTTACTCTCTGTTTACTGTTTACTCTGTTTACTCTGTTTACTCTCTGTTTGCTCTCTGTTTACTGTTTACTGTCTGTTTACTGTCTGTTTACTGTCTGTTTACTGTCTGTTTACTGTTTACTCTCTGTTTACTCTCTGTTTGCTCTCTGTTTACTGTTTACTGTCTGTTTACTCTCTGTTTACTCTCTGTTTACTGTTTACTCTCTGTTTACTCTCTGTTTACTGTTTACTCTCTGTTTACTGTTTACTCTCTGTTTACTCTCTGTTTACTGTTTACTCTCTGTTTACTCTCTGTTTACTGTCTGTTTACTCTCTGTTTACTCTCTGTTTACTGTCTGTTTACTCTCTGTTTACTCTCTGTTTACTCTCTGTTTACTGTCTGTTTACTGTTTACTGTGTTTACTCTCTGTTTACTCTGTTTACTGTCTGTTTACTCTCTGTTTACTCTGTTTACTGTCTGTTTACTCTCTGTTTACTCTCTGTTTACTCTCTGTTTACTGTTTACTGTCTGTTTACTGTTTACTCTCTGTTTACTCTCTGTTTACTCTCTGTTTACTCTCTGTTTACTGTTTACTCTCTGTTTACTCTCTGTTTACTGTTTACGGTCTGTTTACTCTCTGTTTACTGTCTGTTTACTGTTTACTGTCTGTTTACTGTCTGTTGTGTTCAGACGACTCGGACATGAAGCGCAGCTCGCCTCCTCTGGTCAGGAAGAAACTGCAGCCGGAAAATAAAACGGGTGAGGAACAGACCGCTTGTAGTAACGCAGCTCTGTGTGTCAAACACCGGTCCAGCTGGCAGGGGAGGGAACCAGGTCTCTGCTCGGGTCTGGTCTGAGTGAAACACAATCCTTATTGCTCAGTTGGACCAGGGGGTCAGTTGGACCAGGGGGGTCTTTACCACGGTGCGTGTTGTGGCCAGGAGAGGAACTGCAGCCTGGGTCTCCACCATCAGCACGCAGACTGGGTCTGATCAGAGGACTGAAGTTTAAGAATCAATCACTTTGGTTAAAATAATAAAAACACCACAGACGAGTTCTTTGAGTGCCGGGGAACCGGGACGGGGAGCCCGGGCTCTGTAGTGTCCGTCATTTTCACCAGTTATCCGTCAGCTGCTGGGTCCATAAAATGTCCCCTCTCCTGTTGCAGCTCTGAGCTCTCTGGACGGGGCCCCGGGCCCCGCGGTCAGCATTCAGACGGAGCTGGCTCTGGAGCAGCTGAAGCAGAAGCAGAGCCAGGAGCTACAGCAGCTGCGCATCCAGCTGGAGACGCAGGTAAGAGCCGGAGCCCGGAGCCCGGATCAGACTCGGTCACAGAGACACTGAACCCCCCGTGTTCCTCCTGCAGGTGAACTACTACGAGCGCAGCCTGGACCTGATGAGGCAGAGCATGGAGGTGGAGCGCAAAGACATCTCCCAGGCCTTCAAGGTAACACTACATCAATATGAATGTTCTTTAGAGTCCGGAGCTGCTGCACAGGGGACAAAAAGCAAGGGCCACAGAAAAGAGACGAGTTTTAACAGTGATGTTAGATAGTGGCAGGTCGTTCCACAGGTTGGGGGGGCAGAACCCTCGACCGGCAGATCTCAGCCCTCCAGCTGGAGTGGGAACCTGAAGAAGCTGTTGGGTAAAGCGGAGCCCGTCCGTTCAGGCATTTAAGAGTTACAAGTTAAAGTCAGGAGGCGGAGTTACAGTAGTGAAGGCAGGAAGTTATGAAGGCGCTGATCAGCCTCTCTGTCTTTAGGAGGGAGATGGCAGAAATCGGTTTATCTCACCGTCCAGCAGCGAGACTCCTCGCAGCTCCTAACACCCGGGCGTCCTCACTAAACACTTGTGACTCCTGATCTCCAGGTCTCTGGTCTCCGTGTTTCCCTGTGGACACAGTCACGTCTCTCAGATCACGATTTATAAGTACGGGACATTCATTTAAATAATCGACCTGAATTACAAGAGAGTACAAGAACCCAAATACCAACATCTGTGAGGAAGTACTGCCTCATCCTCGCACCTGAAGTTACTCTCTCAGACTTTAAAAACACGTCGCGGTGTTTCGTCAGGACTCGATACATCACGTACAGCATGAACGAGTACTTTTACTCTAGGTAGTAGAAGTACACGCTGCTGGTTCTGACCCTGTCCTGTTTGACTGTCCGTCAGGTGGAGATCAGCGAGCTGGAGGAGCAGAAGGCTCAGGCGGAGCAGCAGGTGCAGCAGCTGAAGGAGACTGTGGACAAACTGCAGCGCCAACAGGGGGGAGGAGCCGGAGGAGCAGGAGGGCGGAGCCACGAGCAGGAGCGCAGGTGAGCAAGACCGCACTGCAGGAGGTGAGGAAGCTCAGGACCCTCAGACGGGTCAGAGCCTCCGTCAGGTCGTCTCCTGTAGGAGTCGGTGTTTCTGGTATTTTGTCCACTCCGCCGAGCCGCCGTCTGGTTTGATGTGTCGGTGTTTTCCCAGAATGCAGCGGGAGCGCGCGGAGCTGGAGCAGAACTTTGCCCGAGAGATCAGCAACCTGGTCCAGAGACTGAGCGCCGAGAAGGACCAGCTGGAGGCGGAGCTGAAGCTGAAGCTGGACCAGGAAGTGCTGCTGGTCAGGTGGGTGGTGACCTCACAGCTCGCACTCTGCTGTTACTGTGCAGGTTACCCAGCATGCTCAGGGGCACGTTTACAGCACAGGTTATTTCCCATAATCCTTCAGCCTGCTGGTTCAGTGTCTTCCTATGTCAGGTGTAGGTGACAGAACGTGTTTAGATTCCAGCGAGCGGCGAGGAGGAGGTTTACTCGCCACCGCTTGTTGGCTGTTTGAATGTTCTGCGTGAGTAACAGGAAGTCCGTCTCTCTCACGCCGCTGAGCAGGGAGGAGGCCGAGCAGCAGCGCTCTCAGATGGAGCTGCAGCACGCCGAAGGCCAGCGCCGCATCCTGCACCAGCTCCACCGGGAGCGCCGGCGGCTGCAGGAGCAGAGAGCATTCTGGGAGGACCGGCTGGTCCAGGCGGAGCAAGTGAAGCTGCGGTGTGAAGAGCAGGCCAGGATCTGCAGCCAGGTCTCCTCAGAGAGGACGAGGACGGAGGAGGAGGTGTCCACTCTGCATCTGCGGGTCAGCCAATCAGAGGCCGGCTTAAAGGAGCTGAGGGAGCGCTGCGCTCAGCTGGAGGACGACCTCGCGGCGTCTCGCGGGCGCTGCGCTCAGCTGGAGGACGACCTCGCGGCGTCTCGCGGCCGCAGCGCTCAGCTGGAGGACGACCTCGCGGCGTCTCGCGGGCGCTGCGCTCAGCTGGAGGACGACCTCGACCTCGCGGCGTCTCGCGGGCGCTGCGCTCAGCTGGAGGACGACCTCGCGGCGTCTCGCGGGCGCTGCGCTCAGCTGGAGGAGAGCGTCGCCTTCCTGGAGTCTCAGGAGGTTTTAAATAAACGCCTGGTGGAGGAGAAGAGCTCTGCTGAGGAGGAGCTGCAGCTGCTGAAGACCCAGGAGGAGCAGCTCCTGGTCCAGGTGGCCCGGCTGAAGGAGGAGGTGGGAAACCTTCAGGCTGCGTCCGACGGGCTTCTGCAGGACCGGGACGAGGCGGCGGACAGCTGCGGCCGCCTCTCCAGCGCCTTCCTCCAGCAGGAGGTGCAGCTCAGAGCCAGGGAGCAGGAGCTGGAGGGTCTGCGGGAGGCCACCCGGATCAAGGCTGAGGGTCTCTGCAGACAGACTGCTGAGCTGGACTCGCTGAAGACGGACCGCCACAGGCTGATCCAGGACCTGAAGGACCAGGCCATGGCTGTGGACAACCTGCAGCTGGAGCTGGACGGCGTCTCCGAGGAGTTGGACAGGAGGAGGGGCGCCGAGGAGAGTCTGCAGGAGGCTCTGAAGCAGGAGCAGACCAGGACCTCGCAGCTCCGGTCCAGGCTGGACGAGGAGAGGGAGGAGGTCTGTCGTCTGAGCCAGGAGAACGGGAGCTACACCCGGCTGGCCGACCAGCTCTCCACCCAGATTGTAGAGATGGAGGAGGAGATCTCCACGCTCAGAGACCACCTCAGAGAGCTCAGCTCCCAGCTCAACGGGACCGCAGACCTGGTCCTGGATCTCAGGAGGCAGCTAAACTCCAAAACCAGCGAAGTGGATCGGCTGCGGGCCGAGGTGGCGGAAGCCAAGGCCTCGTCTGAAAAGCATCGCAGCGACGCTGAGCAGCTGGACCGGGCCAGAGAGCAGGTCCTCCAGCTGCAGCAGGTCCTGCAGGACTCCCAGAACCAGCTGAGGACGGCTGAGGAGGACTTCCACCAGGAGAAGAGGAAGATGATGCAGCAGCTGATGGAGCTGGAGAAGCTGGTCCTGGCCCTGGAGGAGGAGATGGACCCGGCCAGCCCACACAGGTTTGTGGAGCATGAGACGGCTCGGAGACCCGAAACCTGGTCCGCATGATGACTAACCTGCTTTAAACAGAACCTGAATGACTAATCGATCATGTGAGCCTTCCTCAGGTAGACGCTCTGCACGCCGGCCTCTCTAACCTTCATCTCTAACCAATCACAAAGCATGAAGCAGAGCCTCACCTGCCCGCCGCCGCCGTTTCCTCTCAGCGTGATTTAAACAGGTTCACGGCAGCACAGCGGCTCTGGGACCCGATGGAGGTCAGAGTCCAGATTTAAGGCCTCAGTTTGCTTCAGATGAAACATGAACGTAGCTGCAGTTGAGTGAAGCCGAGCCGTCAGGTGATCCACGAGATCCTGGATCATAGATCTGAAGCCCCCTCTCCACCGGCTCCACTCTGGGGCCGGGAGCTAGGGCCGAACGTGTGATCAGGATCAAAGTCAGATCCTGGTTTCTGCTCCTGAGGGAAAGTTAATGTGGTGTAAGGGTTTTTCTTACCTCTTCAGAGGATCCGTAAACTAATCTGAGGCAGAACCTTCAGGATCTGTTTCCAGCAACATAAATATCTTAGAAACATTTAGCTCTGATTTGGTTCAAATCAAACATTTACTGAACATTTGTTTTTGTCTCCTCCTTCACTGTCACATCTGGTACCGGGTTTTTGGTATCCCCTTGGTTTAGGTTTCACGTGAGCCGAGTTGACAGTTTCAGACCGGATATCTGAATCACCTTGTTTGAAGCAGACTGAGGCCTTCAGAGACCGGATCTGTAGGAACCTAAATGAATCACTGAATGCGTCCGAAATCAGCGCAGCGGCGTCATGAGATGTGTGACGAGGTTAGGGCTCCTGAGCTGTTCGGTCTCTGAGTTGTTCTGGTTTGCTGCTGCAGGACTCAGCTGGAGGAGGTCCGGTCAGAGAACGGGGCTCTGCTGGAGCGGGTGAGCCTGCTGCAGCAGGAAGTCCAGAACCTGGAGGACGACGTGGCCAAGAAGAGGTGAGTAAAGGCTCTGAGGTGTCGGGGGGGTCGCTGCAGATCAGGGTTTTACTAAAGATCAGACTGACTGACGCTCTGTATGGTCCGTAAGGAGGAGCCTGGAGGAGATGGAGAGGGACCACGAGAGGAGCAGGGAGGAGGAGGAGCGGCTGCACAGGGAGGTGAGGACCTCCAGACTCTGACCTCTGACCTCTGAGGGGGGGCAGAAAGGTAAAACTCTGTTTCTCCCGCAGAACTCCAGGTACCGGGAGGAGGTTCTGGACCTGAGCAGCAGAAACCTGCAGCTCAGCAACGACAACGCAGAGCTGAGCGCCCGTCTCCGGGAGACCAGGAGGCGGTCCGGATGCTGCAGGAGCGCCTGGCGATGGTCTCCAAGGAGCAGGAGGAGGCGGGAGCATCGGTGAGCCAAACTCTTCTTCATGTGTTTAAATAATGCTGATGTTTCCACGAGCATCTGCTCTCAGGTGTTGTTTCAGGTTCCAGCAGGATCAGGTTCTGGTGTTGTGTTTCAGCTTCCCACAAGATCAGGTTCGGGTGTTTTGTTTCAGGTTCCCGCGGGATCAGGTTCTGGTGTTGTTTCAGGTTCCTGCGGGTTCAGGTTCTGGTCTTGTGTTTCAGGTTCCAGCGGGATCAGGTTCAGGTGTTGTGCGTTTCAGGTTCCTGCGGGATCAGGTTCAGGTGTTGTGCGTTTCAGGTTCCCGCGGGATCAGTTCAGGTGTTGTGTTTCAGGTTCCCACGAGATCAGGTTCGGGTGTTGTTTCAGGTTCCCGCGGGATCAGGTTCAGGTGTTGTGTTTCAGGTTCCTGCAGGATCATGTTCTGCTGTTGTGCATTTCAGGTTCCTGCGGGATCAGGTTCAGGTGTTGTGCATTTCAGGTTCCTGCGGATCAGGTTCAGGTGTTGTGCGTTTCAGGTTCCTGCGGGATCAGGTTCTGGTGTTGTGCGTTTCAGGTTCCTGCGGGATCAGGTTCTGGTGTTGTGCGTTTCAGGTTCCTGCGGGATCAGGTTCAGGTGTTGTTTCAGGTTCCTGCGGGTTCAGGTTCTGGTCTTGTGTTTCAGGTTCCAGCGGGATCAGGTTCAGGTGTTGTGCGTTTCAGGTTCCTGCGGGATCAGGTTCAGGTGTTGTGTTTCAGGTTCCCACGAGATCAGGTTCAGGTGTTGTGTTTCAGGTTCCCGCGGGATCAGGTTCAGGTGTTGTTTCATGTTCCTGCGGGATCAGGTTCTAGTGTTGTGCATTTCAGGTTCCTGTGGGATCAGGTTCTGGTGTTGTGCGGATCAGGTTCAGGTGTTGTGTTTCAGGTTCCTGCGGGTTCAGGTTCTGGTCTTGTGTTTCAGGTTCCCGCGGGATCAGGTTCGGGTGTTGTTTTTCAGGTTCCTGCGGGATCAGGTTCTGGTGTTGTGCATTTCAGGTTCCTGCGGATCAGGTTCAGGTGTTGTGCGTTTCAGGTTCCTGTGGGATCAGGTTCAGGTGTTGTGCGTTTCAGGTTCCTGCGGGATCAGGTTCTGGTGTTGTGCGTTTCAGGTTCCTGCGGGATCAGGTTCTGGTGTTGTGCGTTCCAGGTTCAGGTGTTGTGCGTTTCAGGTTCCAGCGGGTTCAGGTTCAGGTGTTGTGCGTTCCAGGTTCAGGTGTTGTGCGTTTCAGGTTCCTGCAGGATCAGGTTCAGGTGTTGTGTTTCAGGTTCCTGCGGGATCAGGTTCAGTTGTTGTGTTTCAGGTTCCTGCGGGATCAGGTTCAGTTGTTGTGTTTCAGGTTCCCGCGGGATCAGGTTTAGGTGTTGTGTTTCAGGTTCCTGCGGGATCAGGTTCTGCTGTTGTGCATTTCAGGTTTCTGTAGGATCAGGTTCTGCTGTTGTGCATTTCAGGTTTCTGTAGGATCAGGTTCTGCTGTTGTGCATTTCAGGTTTCTGTAGGATCAGGTTCTGCTGTGTGCATTTCAGGTTTCTGTAGGATCAGGTTCTGCTGTTGTGCATTTCAGGTTTCTGTAGGATCAGGTTCTGCTGTTGTGCATTTCAGGTTTCTGTAGGATCAGGTTCTGCTGTTGTGCATTTCAGGTTTCTGTAGGATCAGGTTCTGGTGTTGTGCGGATCAGGTTCAGGTGTTGTGTTTTCAGGTTCCCGCGGGTTCAGGTTCGGGTGTTGTGTTTCAGGTTCCCGCGGGATCAGTTCGGGTGTTGTTTTTCAGGTTCCTGCGGGATCAGGTTCCTGCGGATCAGGTTCTGGTGTTGTGCATTTCAGGTTCCTGCGGGATCAGGTTCAGGTGTTGTGCGTTTCAGGTTCCTGCGGGATGAGGTTCGGGTGTTGTGCGTTTCAGGTTCCTGCGGGATGAGGTTCGGGTGTTGTGCGTTTCAGGTTCCAGCGGGATCAGGTTCGGGTGTTGTGCGTTTCAGGTTCCTGCGGGATCAGGTTCAGGTGTTGTGCGTTTCAGGTTCCTGCGGGATCAGGTTCAGGTGTTGTGCGTTTCAGGTTCCTGCGGGATCAGGTTTTGTTGTTGTGCGTTTCAGGTTCCTGCGGGATCAGGTTTGTTGTTGTGCGTTTCAGGTTCCTGCGGGATCAGGTTCTGGTGTTGTGCGTTTCAGGTTCCTGCGGGATCAGGTTCTGGTGTTGTGCGTTTCAGGTTCCTGCGGATCAGGTTCTGGTGTTGTGCGTTTCAGGTTCCTGCGGGATCAGGTTCTGGTGTTGTGCGTTTCAGGTTCCTGCGGGTTCAGGTTCGGGTGTTGTGCGTTCAGGTTCCCGCGGGATCAGGTTCGGTGTTGTGCGTTTCAGGTTCCTGCGGGATCAGGTTCAGGTGTTGCGTTTCAGGTTCCTGCGGGATCAGGTTCAGGTGTTGTGCGTTTCAGGTTCCTGCGGGATCAGGTTTTGTTGTGTGCGTTTCAGGTTCCTGCGGGATCAGGTTTTGTTGTTGTGCGTTTCAGGTTCCTGCGGGATCAGGTTCTGGTGTTGTGCGTTTCAGGTTCCTGCGGGATCAGGTTCTGGTGTGTGCGTTCAGGTTCCTGCGGGATCAGGTTCTGGTGTTGTGCGTTTCAGGTTCCTGCGGGATCAGGTTCTGGTGTTGTGCGTTTCAGGTTCCCGCGGGTTCAGGTTCGGGTTGTGCGTTTCAGGTTCCCGCGGGATCAGGTTCGGGTGTTGTGCGTTTCAGGTTCCCGCGGGATCAGGTTCAGGTGTGTGCGTTTCAGGTTCCGCGGGATCAGGTTCTGGTGTTGTGCGTTTCAGGTTCCTGCGGGATCAGGTTCAGGTGTTGTGCGTTTCAGGTTCCTGCGGGATCAGGTTCTGGTCTTGTGCGTTTCAGGTTCCCGCGGGATCAGGTTCGGGTGTTGTGCGTTTCAGGTTCCCGCGGGATCAGGTTCGGGTGTTGTGCGTTTCAGGTTCCCGCGGGATCAGGTTCGGTGTGTTGTGCGTTTCAGGTTCCCGCGGGATCAGGTTCAGGTGTTGTGCGTTTCAGGTTCCTGCGGGATGAGGTTCGGGTGTTGTGCGTTTCAGGTTCCTGCGGGATCAGGTTCAGGTGTTGTGCGTTTCAGGTTCCCGCGGGATCAGGTTCTGGTCTTGTGCGTTTCAGGTTCCCGCGGGATCAGGTTCGGGTGTTGTGCGTTTCAGGTTCCCGCGGGATCAGGTTCGGGTGTTGTGCGTTTCAGGTTCCCGCGGGATCAGGTTCGGGTGTTGTGCGTTTCAGGTTCCCGCGGGATCAGGTTCGGGTGTTGTGCGTTTCAGGTTCCTGCGGGATCAGGTTCTGGTGTTGTGCGTTTCAGGTTCCTGCGGGATCAGGTTCGGGTGTTGTGCGTTTCAGGTTCCTGCGGGATCAGGTTCGGGTGTTGTGCGTTTCAGGTTCCTGCGGGATCAGGTTCTGGTGTTGTGCGTTTCAGGTTCCTGCGGGATCAGGTTCTGGTGTTGTGCGTTTCAGGTTCCTGCGGGATCAGGTTCAGGTGTTGTGCGTTCCAGGTTCAGGTGTTGTGCGTTTCAGGTTCCTGCGGGATCAGGTTCAGGTGTTGTGCGTTCCAGGTTCAGGTGTTGTGCGTTTCAGGTTCCTGCGGGATCAGGTTCAGGTGTTGTGCGTTTCAGGTTCCTGCGGGATCAGGTTCAGTTGTTGTGTTTCAGGTTCCTGCGGGATCAGGTTCAGTTGTTGTGTTTCAGGTTCCTGCGGAATCAGGTTCAGTTGTTGTGTTTCAGGTTCCCGCGGGATCAGGTTCAGGTGTTGTGTTTCAGGTTCCTGCGGGATCAGGTTCTGCTGTTGTGCATTTCAGGTTCCTGTGGGATCAGGTTCTGGTGTTGTGCGGATCAGGTTCAGGTGTTGTGTTTCAGGTTCCTGCGGGATCAGGTTCGGGTGTTGTGTTTCAGGTTCCTGCGGGTTCAGGTTCTGGTCTTGTGTTTCAGGTTCCTGCGGGATCAGGTTCTGGTGTTGTGCATTTCAGGTTCCTGCGGGATCAGGTTCTGGTGTTGTGCATTTCAGGTGTTGTGCGTTTCAGGTTCCTGCGGGATCAGGTTCAGGTGTTGTGCGTTCCAGGTTCAGGTGTTGTGCGTTTCAGGTTCCTGCGGGATCAGGTTCAGGTGTTGTGCGTTTCAGGTTCAGGTGTTGTGCGTTTCAGGTTCCTGCGGGATCAGGTTCGGGTGTTGTTTTTCAGGTTCCAGCGGGATCAGGTTCAGGTGTTGTGCGTTTCAGGTTCAGGTGTTGTGCGTTTCAGGTGTTGTGCGTTTCAGGTTCCTGCGGGATCAGGTTCTGGTGTTGTGCGTTTCAGGTTCCTGCGGGATCAGGTTCTGGTGTTGTGCGTTTCAGGTTCCTGCGGGATCAGGTTCAGGTGTTGTGCGTTCCAGGTTCAGGTGTTGTGCGTTTCAGGTTCAGGTGTTGTGCGTTTCAGGTTCCTGCGGGATCAGGTTCAGGTGTTGTGCGTTTCACGTTCCTGCGGGATCAGGTTTTGTTGTTGTGCGTTTCAGGTTCTTGCGGGATCAGGTTCTGGTGTTGTGCGTTTCAGGTTCCTGCGGGATCAGGTTCAGGTGTTGTGCGTTTCAGGTTCTTGCGGGATCAGGTTTTGTTGTTGTGCGTTTCAGGTTCTTGCGGGATCAGGTTTTGTTGTTGTGCGTTTCAGGTTCCTGTGGGATCAGGTTCTGGTGTTGTGCGTTTCAGGTTCTGGTGTTGTGCGTTTCAGGTTCTGGTGTTGTGCGTTTCAGGTTCAGGTGTGGTGCGTTTCAGGTTCCTGCGGGATCAGGTTCTGGTGTTGTGCGTTTCAGGTTCCTGCGGGATCGGGTTCTGGTGTTGTGCGTTTCAGGTTCCTGCGGGATCGTGTTCTGGTGTTGTGCGTTCCAGGTTCAGGTGTTGTGCGTTTCAGGTTCCTGCGGGATCAGGTTTTGTTGTTGTGCGTTTCAGGTTCTTGCGGGATCAGGTTCTGGTGTTGTGCGTTTCAGGTTCCTGCGGGATCAGGTTCAGGTGTTGTGCGTTTCAGGTTCCTGCGGGATCAGGTTTTGTTGTTGTGCGTTTCAGGTTCCTGCGGGATCGGGTTCTGGGTGTGTGCGTTTCAGGTTCTGGTGTTGTGCGTTTCAGGTTCAGGTGTGGTGCGTTTCAGGTTCCTGCGGGATCAGGTTCTGGTGTTGTGCGTTTCAGGTTCTTGCGGGATCAGGTTTTGTTGTTGTGCGTTTCAGGTTCCTGTGGGATCAGGTTCTGGTGTTGTGCGTTTCAGGTTCTGGTGTTGTGCGTTTCAGGTTCAGGTGTGTGCGTTTCAGGTTCCTGCGGGATCAGGTTCTGGTGTTGTGCGTTTCAGGTTCCTGCGGGATCGGGTTCTGGTGTTGTGCGTTTCAGGTTCCTGCGGGATCGTGTTCTGGTGTTGTGCGTTCCAGGTTCAGGTGTTGTGCGTTTCAGGTTCCTGCGGGATCAGGTTTTGTTGTTGCGTTTCAGGTTCTTGCGGGATCAGGTTCTGGTGTTGTGCGTTTCAGGTTCCTGCGGGATCAGGTTCAGGTGTTGTGCGTTTCAGGTTCCTGCGGGATCAGGTTTTGTTGTTGTGCGTTTCAGGTTCCTGCGGGATCGGGTTCTGGTGTTGTGCGTTTCAGGTTCTGGTGTTGTGCGTTTCAGGTTCAGGTGTGGTGCGTTTCAGGTTCCTGCGGGATCAGGTTCTGGTGTTGTGCGTTTCAGGTTCCTGCGGGATGGGGTTCTGGGTTGTGCGTTTCAGGTTCCTGCGGGATTGGGTTCTGGTGTTGTGCGTTCCAGGTTCAGGTGTTGTGCGTTTCAGGTTCCTGCGGGATCAGGTTCAGGTGTTGTGCGTTTCAGGTGTTGTGCGTTTCAGGTTCCTGCGGGATCAGGTTCAGGTGTTGTGCGTTTCAGGTTCCTGCGGGATCAGGTTCAGGTGTTGTGCGTTTCAGGTTCCTGCGGGATCAGGTTCTGGTGTTGTGCGTTTCAGGTTCTGGTGTTGTGCGTTTCAGGTTCCTGCGGGATCAGGTTCAGGTGTTGTGCGTTTCAGGTTCCTGCGGGATCAGGTTCTGGTGTTGTGCGTTTCAGGTTCTGGTGTTGTGCGTTTCAGGTTCCTGCGGGATCAGGTTCAGGTGTTGTGCGTTTCAGGTTCCTGCGGGATCAGGTTCTGGTGTTGTGCGTTTCAGGTTCCTGCGGGATCAGGTTCTGGTCTTGTGTTTCAGGTTCCAGCGGGATCAGGTTCAGGTGTTGTGCGTGTCAGGTTCCTGCGGGATCAGGTTCAGGTTTTGTGCGTGTCAGGTTCCTGCGGGATCAGGTTCTGGTGTTGTGCGTGTCAGGTTCCTGCGGGATCAGGTTGGTGTTGTGTGTTTCAGGTTCCTGCGGGATCAGGTTCCTGCAGGAACAGGTTCCGGTGTGGGTTTGTTTCAGGTTCCTGCGGGATCAGGTTCCTGCAGGAACAGGTTCTGGTGTGGTGCGTTTCAGGTTCCTGCGGGATCAGGTTGTGGTGTTGTGCGTTTCAGGTTCCTGCGGGATCAGGTTCTGGTGTTTTGCGTTTCAGGTTCCTGCGGGATCAGGTTCAGGTGTTGTGCGTTTCAGGTTCCTGCGGGATCAGGTTCAGGTGTTGTGCGTTCCAGGTTCAGGTGTTGTGCGTTTCAGGTTCCTGCAGGAACAGGTTCCGGTGTGGTGTGTTTCAGGTTCCTGCGGGATCAGGTTCTGGTGTTGTGCGTTTCAGGTTCCTGCGTTTCAGGTTCTGGTGTTGTGCGTTTCAGGTTCCTGCGGATCAGGTTCAGTGTTGTGCGTTCCAGGTTCAGGTGTTGTGCGTTTCAGGTTCCTGCAGGAACAGGTTCCGGTGTGGTGTGTTTCAGGTTCCTGCGGGATCAGGTTCTGGTTGTGCGTTTCAGGTTCCTGCGTTTCAGGTTCTGGTGTTGTGCGTTTCAGGTTCCTGCGGGATCAGGTTCCGGTGTGGTGTGTTTCAGGTTCCTGCGGGATCAGGTTCCTGCAGGAACAGGTTCCGGTGTGGTGTGTTTCAGGTTCCTGCGGGATCAGGTTCTGGTGTTGTGCGTTTCAGGTTCCTGCGGGCTCAGATTCTGGAGTTGTGCGTTTCAGGTTCCTGCGGGTTCAGGTTCCTGCAGGAACAGGTTCCGGTGTGGTGCGTTTCAGGTTCCTGCGGGATCAGGTTCCGGTGTGGTGTGTTTCAGGTTCCTGCGGGATCAGGTTCTGGTGTTGTGCGTTTCAGGTTCCTGCGGGATCGGGTTCTGGTGTTGTGCGTTTCAGGTTCCTGCGGGATCGTGTTCTGGTGTTGTGCGTTCCAGGTTCAGGTGTTGTGCGTTTCAGGTTCCTGCGGGATCAGGTTTTGTTGTTGTGCGTTTCAGGTTCTTGCGGGATCAGGTTCTGGTGTTGTGCGTTTCAGGTTCCTGCGGGATCAGGTTCAGGTGTTGTGCGTTTCAGGTTCCTGCGGGATCAGGTTTTGTTGTTGTGCGTTTCAGGTTCCTGCGGGATCGGGTTCTGGTGTTGTGCGTTTCAGGTTCTGGTGTTGTGCGTTCAGGTTCAGGTGTGGTGCGTTTCAGGTTCCTGCGGGATCAGGTTCTGGTGTTGTGCGTTTCAGGTTCTTGCGGGATCAGGTTTTGTGTTGTGCGTTTCAGGTTCCTGTGGGATCAGGTTCTGGTGTTGTGCGTTTCAGGTTCTGGTGTTGTGCGTTTCAGGTCAGGTGTGGTGCGTTTCAGGTTCCTGCGGGATCAGGTTCTGGTTTTGCGGTTTCAGGTTCCTGCGGGATCGGGTTCTGGTGTTGTGCGTTTCAGGTTCCTGCGGGATCGTGTTCTGGTGTTGTGCGTTCCAGGTTCAGGTGTTGTGCGTTTCAGGTTCCTGCGGGATCAGGTTTGTTGTTGTGCGTTTCAGGTTCTGCGGGATCAGGTTTGGTGTGTGCGTTTCAGGTTCCTGCGGATCAGGTTCAGGTGTTGTGCGTTTCAGGTTCCTGCGGGATCAGGTTTTGTTGTTGTGCGTTTCAGGTTCCTGCGGGATCGGGTTCTGGTGTTGTGCGTTTCAGGTTCTGGTGTTGTGCGTTTCAGGTTCAGGTGTGGTGCGTTTCAGGTTCCTGCGGGATCAGGTTCTGGTGTTGTGCGTTTCAGGTTCCTGCGGGATGGGGTTCTGGTGTTGTGCGTTTCAGGTTCCTGCGGGATTGGGTTCTGGTGTTGTGCGTTCCAGGTTCAGGTGTTGTGCGTTTCAGGTTCCTGCGGGATCAGGTTCAGGTGTTGTGCGTTTCAGGTGTTGTGCGTTTCAGGTTCCTGCGGGATCAGGTTCAGGTGTTGTGCGTTTCAGGTTCCTGCGGGATCAGGTTCAGGTGTTGTGCGTTTCAGGTTCCTGCGGGATCAGGTTCTGGTGTTGTGCGTTTCAGGTTCTGGTGTTGTGCGTTTCAGGTTCCTGCGGGATCAGGTTCAGGTGTTGTGCGTTTCAGGTTCCTGCGGGATCAGGTTTGGTGTTGTGCGTTTCAGGTTCTGGTGTTGTGCGTTTCAGGTTCCTGCGGGATCAGGTTCAGGTGTTGTGCGTTTCAGGTTCCTGCGGGATCAGGTTTGGTGTTGTGCGTTTCAGGTTCCTGCGGATCAGGTTCTGGTCTTGTGTTTCAGGTTCCAGCGGGATCAGGTTCAGGTGTTGTGCGTGTCAGGTTTCCTGCGGGATCAGGTTCAGGTTTTGTGCGTGCAGGTTCCTGCGGGATCAGGTTCTGGTGTTGTGCGTGTCAGGTTCCTGCGGGATCAGGTTCTGGTGTTGTGTTTCAGGTTCCTGCGGGATCAGGTTCCTGCAGGAACAGGTTCCGGTGTGGTGTTTCAGGTTCCTGCGGGATCAGGTTCCTGCAGGAACAGGTTCTGGTGGTGCGTTTCAGGTTCCTGCGGGATCAGGTTGTGGTGTTGTGCGTTTCAGGTTCCTGCGGGATCAGGTTCTGGTGTTTTGCGTTTCAGGTTCCTGCGGGATCAGGTTCAGGTGTTGTGCGTTTCAGGTTCCTGCGGGATCAGGTTCAGGTGTTGTGCGTTCCAGGTTCAGGTGTTGTGCGTTTCAGGTTCCTGCAGGAACAGGTTCCGGTGTGGTGTTTCAGGTTCCTGCGGGATCAGGTTCTGGTGTTGTGCGTTTCAGGTTCCTGCGTTTCAGGTTCTGGTGTTGGCGTTTCAGGTTCCTGCGGGATCAGGTTCAGGTGTTGTGCGTTCCAGGTTCAGGTGTTGTGCGTTTCAGGTTCCTGCAGGAACAGGTTCCGGTGTGGTGTGTTTCAGGTTCCTGCGGGATCAGGTTCTGGTGTTGTGCGTTTCAGGTTCCTGCGTTTCAGGTTCTGGTGTTGTGCGTTTCAGGTTCCTGCGGGATCAGGTTCCGGTGTGGTGTGTTTCAGGTTCCTGCGGGATCAGGTTCCTGCAGGAACAGGTTCCGGTGTGGTGTGTTTCAGGTTCCTGCGGGATCAGGTTCGGTGTGTGCGTTTCAGGTTCCTGCGGGCTCAGATTCTGGAGTTGTGCGTTTCAGTTCCTGCGGGTTCAGGTTCCTGCAGGAACAGGTTCCGGTGTGGTGCGTTCAGGTTCCTGCGGGATCAGGTTCCGGTGTGGTGTGTTTCAGGTTCCTGCGGGATCAGGTTCTGGTGTTGTGTTTCAGGTGCGGCGGCTGCAGGACGCGGCGCTGCAGCAGAGGGAGACGCTGCAGCAGCAGCAGCCTGGACGCAGGAGAGACAGCTGCTGCAGAGCGAGCGGCTCCTACAAAGACAAGGTTCCTCAAACGCACCGTCACTGCTTTACTTTCCCTGATCCTCCAGGTGGACCAGGGACTCCAGGTCCTGGTCTGTGTGTGCAGGTCCACTTCCTGGAGGGGGCAGAACACGTGACCTTCAGTAACATGTCTGCTTTCTCGCCTCAGCTTGGCGGCCTGTCGGCGCTGGAGGCGGAGCTCAGCAGCGTGACTCTGAAGCTGCGGTGGTTGGAGGACGACAAGGCCAAGCTGCTGCGAGACGCAGACGACAGAAACAAGAAGGTCACAGCTCGCCGCTCTGTAACCACAGCGATGGAACCGGCCAGTAAGGAGCGGCGTCCTCACCCTGTGACCTCTGTCTCCCTCAGGTGGAGAAGCTGCAGCAGGCGGCGCTCTCCCTGGAGTCGGAGGCCGGCCTGCTTCGCTCTCAGCCAGCGCCGTCGGCCAGGAGAGAAACTGGGCCACGTCCAGGAAGTGAGCGAGCTGCAGAGGAAGCTGCAGGACGCTCAGCGCAAGGTCAGTCTCAGGGCTTTTATTATGAAGGGACGCTTCCTGTGTAGAGGAAGGAAGAGTTCTAACTACCAAAATAAAACTCAGACGCCATGTCCACCTGGGAGGCGGGGCCAAGGTCGACCTCGAGCCGACCCGGTCCAACGGAGGCGCTGAAGTCCACCTCATGGTTCCCTGTAGTCTCTTTAGTCCGGGTTCACTTTAATCCGGGACTCATTAGTCTACTTACGAGAGCCGGACTACTAGTGAGACCTGGACTAATGAGATCCAAGATACTAATGAGACTTGGACTAAAGAGAAGTCCGGTTCATTAGTAGTCCAGGTCTCACTAGCCGGTCTGGTGTTGTGGTCCAGGTGGAGGAGCTGGAGACCAGCGTCAGGAAGCTGATGAGGGAGAAGGAGGAGCTCCGTCAGGTTCTGGAGGAGCAGGATGAGCAGGCCTCCATCACTCTGCAGGAGGAGACCCAAAAACTGAGAGTCCAGAACCAGGAGCTCCAACACAAGGTACTGAGTCTACATGCTGGTCCCAGGTTTCTGAGGACTCACCTGGGCTGGGGTCTGAGTTCTGAAGTCGACTGCTTGTGTTTTCAGCTGTCGGAGCTACAGGTCCAGGGTCAGGAGGTCCAGAAGCTGACCCAGGAGCAGCAGAACCTGAAGACCAAACTGAGCGAGCTGGAGACGGCCCGGACGCAGGCTCAGGACCAGGTGAGCACTACATGTCCCAGAATCCTCAGCCCACCAGGACTGAACCCCGAAACCGGTCTCACACTCTGAACTTCCTGTCTCAGGTGGCACGGGCCGACACGGCGCTCGGCCTGGTCCAGGCTCAGCACGTGAGGCGGCTGCAGGAGGCGCAGGAGCGAGCGGGGCCGGCCTCAGGGACCAGGTGCAGCTGCTGCAGGTTCGGCTGCAGGAGGAGCAGAGCAGGAGTCGGCAGCTGGAGGAGGCGCTGAGGCTGCAGGCCCGCAGGGCAGCACCCAGATCCACGTCAAGCAGGTACCCACGGTCAGAGGGGTACTCCACTACCCACGAGTATCACAGTACTTCTAGGAGTACCGCAGGGTCCCACAGAGTACTACAGGTCCCACAGAGTACTACAGTACTTCTAGGAGCACCGCGGGTCCACAGAGTATACAGTACTTCTAGGAGCACCGCAGGGTCCCACAGAGTACTACAGTACTTCTAGGAGTACCGCAGTGTCCCCCCCGTCGTCGGCTGACTCAAAGACGAGAGCGAGATGCGCCGGTGTTACGGCGAGTTTTGCTCGCAGCACCAGATCCTGCTGTAACACATGCTGCGCGGGTTCATAATAAGTGACTCAAAGTAAATGAACGTTTAGTCGTTAAATAATCTTCGATCACAGTAGAAGGAGCGTTCTGAGATTCAGCTGAAAGATGTGGCGATAACTGAGGAGGAGGCCTGCAGAGACGTGCCCTCCTCCGCTCAGCACGAAGGAGCGTTCTTCTCAGCGGGCTGCAGGATCAGCACAACCCGCAGAAGCCGGCAGCGTTTGGCTAACGTTAGCTGGCTGTTTGGCTAAATCGCCGCCTTTTGTTAAAACTCGTTTTTTCATACAGAGACGAACCAGTGTACCGAGCTAAGAGTAGACCTTTAATATCATGTTGTAATATTATACTAACCACTCATCTGAACCAGCTGGGCCCCAGGGCTGGGCTGGGCCCCAGGGCTGGGCCCCAGGGCTGGGCGGTCCCCAGGGCTGGGCCCTGCTGTGTTTCCATCTGATCGTAGTTCAGTGAAGGCGCTGGGGTTTTTAGACGCTTGTAGCAGGTTTCAGACTGTGACCAGCGGTACGCCTGTAAATAAACGTGATCTGTGCCGTGTCTCGCTCAGGTACTCCTCGAGTACTCCAACATGCAGTACTCCAACATGCAGTACTCCAACTGCAGTACTCCAACATGCAGTACTCCAACATGCAGTACTCTGCGTACTCGTCTGAGACCTGCAGAGCTCCAAAACACCAGCTATAATAATAACTTTAAAAAATAACGACACAGACTCCTCAATCTCTTCATTTAAACTGACACGGCTGAGCTTCCTGACGCTGCTGCAGCCGCTCTGTGACGGCCTCGCCAGCTCCGCCGCCGCCACCTCAACTCCAAAAACTTCAAGCACATTTTAATCTGCCGTCACTTCTTGTAAAACTGTCAATATTTAACATCAAAACTCCTCAGAAGTGGATGGAGATGAAACGGCCTCTCTCTCTGCTTCCTGTTGGCCCGCCCCTTCCGCTACGTAGCTAAAATGGCGGTGGTTGAGGGCGAGAGGACAGTTTCAGCCGTTACGACCGTCCGGGTCCTCCCCAGCGCTGCATGCTGCGTACTTCAGTGTGAACGCACGATGCTCAGAATAGTGAGTGGAAGTGCACGAATAGAGACAGCAACTGAAATTCATTTTAAAAACTGCCACGTCCCTTTAAAAGAGCGACGTCGAGCGTTACAGCTCAGAGTGGCGCCGCAGTCTTA